GTTACAATAATACAAAACTAATAATAAAAATAGTAAAAATGAAGAGTTAGGGGGAAAGACAGCAGGATTAAATATAAATATGCCAATTTCCATTCATTTTGGTAAAAGGGAAACAATACATTCTCTCAAATTGGAGTATGAAGAAATATGATGATAAAAATATAAATGGTTTCAATAACCATTTTTTCTTATTAAGAACATCTTTTAAGGAATTAATATCTCTGGAAAATTAGAAACATTTATCTAATACTTCAGCAATTTCATCATTTTAATCTTTTTCTTTGGTTAAATATAAATGAAATAAGCTAATCCTAAAACATCAGATGGAAAAATAAGAGTAATGAGAAAGGAATAGTCCTGCTGGATACTGTGTTATAATACAGAGATACAACATCTGAAATAATGTGGTACTAGCACATGATTAAACAGACAGGTTAAAAAAAAGAAAAACAGATCTGCATAAGTATGAGAATTCAGGATATAATTAAGGTGACTTCTAACTACTACAAAAAAGAATGATTATTCAATAATGTTTGTGACAATCAGGTAGCCATTTTTTAAGTAAAAAAAAAAAAATCAAATCAAATCCCAGATGGAATGGAAATTTCACCAGGAATGATGAAATAAGTACTAAAAGAAAACATGAAAGAAAAATGTTTAATTTATGAATGAGTAGGAAAAGCCTAAGTATGTTCCAACACCAGAAATGATAAGAGATTTAAAATTCAACTGTAAGATTTAAAAACAAAAAATTTCTAATTAGAAAAAAAGAACAATATACAAAGTCAAAAAGGCAACAGGTGAAGGAAAAATAAATCACATCTGGGTTTGGTTTTTTGGTTTTTTTTTTTTTAATCTACATTTATTTGATAATCTTACCAGGAAACGGTTTGTGGATGGGAGAAGAAACCAATCACTTACAGAACATCTTAACATCATTCCCCACACCTTATTTCCACATGGGGCAATGTAATGAAGGTCTGATTTCCCTGTGCATGCAGAGGGGTAAGTAGCACAGGAGACGAAGCTCAAAACTATTAAACTCAGAACTTATGTAAGAGTTGCTGCCTTATCTGCCCTTCCTCTCCTCCGGCGGGGGGAAGGGGGGTGAGCACACACAAACTTGGCTCTGAAATATTACCTATCTTTCTGAGGAGAGAAGGGGAATGTCAACAAATGGCTCTGAGGAAAAATAAGACTTTCTCTCCAGCACTCTCTATCTCGAAGCTGCTATCCTTCAATCTCTGTGCCAAAAGTCTTTGGTTAGAAAGCCCTCACTCTGTAGCAATGTGAAAAATATTCATGGAGCATTGCTTCTTCATGATATCACAAATGGCTTATTGATTAAAAATAAAGGACACCTTTAATAAGAAAACCCAAAGGGCAAAGGGGCTAATGGTCAATTCAAAGAAAATGAAATGTTAATCAACCTATGAAGAAAAATTCAACCTCACTCATAATAAGGAAAATGAAAATGATATACTATTTTTCACTAACAGAAAAAGACCAAAGTCAAAGATCCTTTGGACCAGGGAGTAAAAGACACTGATAATACTTAACTAAATTACTAAAATTCATATTTCCCCAGAAATTCTACTTCCACATGTGCAAAATGATGATATAAAGGACCATTCATAATTGCCAATATTTGCGATAGCAAAATACTGGGGAAACTACCAATAGGAAACTGGTGAAATTACAGGAGTACCTCTACAACTGGGTATTAAAAAATCATAAAAATGAGGGCGCCTCGGTGGCTCAGTTGGTTAAGCTACTGCCTTCGGCTCAGGTCATGATCCTGGAGTCCCGGGATCGAGTCCCACATCGGGCTCCCTGCTGAGCAGGGAGTCTGCTTCTCCCTCTGAACCTCTTCCCTCTCATGCTCTCTATCTCTCATTCTCTCTCTCTCTCAAATAAATAAAATCTTTTTTAAAAAATCATAAAAATGAAGATAATGCTTTAACTTAGGTATGGAACATCACCAAAGATACATTGTTAAGTAAAACCAAAGGTTGCCTCCAGAGGAAAATCAAATGGTTGTGATAAAAACGTGGTACAGAGAGTGACTTTTCTGTTATATACTCTTTTGAACCATTTGGATTTTTTCTTTTCTTTCTTTTTTTTTTTAAACAAAATATTGCCAATTCTTAGTTTTACCATTCAATACGAAACTAACATTACTCAGGCAAAATCACATATAATTTAGTTAATCAAAATAGCATTTTAACAAAATTATGGTTTTTGGTAGAGTATTTCTCCAGCTCCCTACCCAACTTTCATGAGCAGAAAGAAGGAAACAGATGTTATATCTACAGATACGTATGTATGGGTGGATATGTATGGGAGCTTCCACTACAGAAAATGAAGAGACCATTTCAAGCAAAAGGAGTAACACAGAGAAAGCACACAAGAGGTCAAACTGAATGGCATACTCAAGAAAGAAAGAAGTCTCTCCTAACTAGTACAGCAAGAATGGCACTGGCAGGAAAGAGGACTCTGACGTAAGATGAAGGACACAGTGAAAAGGGACCTTTAAGGAAGAAGCACTATCATTAAGAAACAGAAAACGAACAACTGTGAACACAAATAAACATATACAAGGACAGCACAGATAATTCTGATAAATAAATTTTAACCAGACTGAGACCAAAACCAGTCAATTGAACCAAGCATCTATGCACCAAACACTTTCTCAGTGTTACGTCTCTTTGAGAAGAAACTGTATTTATTTCAAATTTCGCTCTTAAAAAAAAAAAAAAAAATCAAGCAAAGTAAGATGCTATCTGTATAACTTCTGAAGCTGGAAAAAGTGACAGTTCAATCAAGATATTTCAAGAAAGGAAAAAACAAAAAAAGAACACAGAAAATTATAGCTCTCCAGGTTCAAAATGAAACACTAATTAAGAGATAACATATATCTTAGAAGATGAAGAATTTGGCAAATGTGCCTTAAGTATTATAATTTAAGGTTAGTAAAGAAATTTGAAAAAGAAACTCTACTATTAAAAGAACATTTGAACGGTTTAAATATCAGAAAGAAGTCTTTGAAATATATAAGAATGGCTTTCTGAATACAATGAAATCCAAGGTTCTTTAATCATGTTCCCATTCAGTCACAGCCTCTACCACCAAATATCCGCCCATCACACAGATGCTTCTAGAAAATCAAAATTAATTATCTGGTAACTGACAGGATTATGGTCACTGGAAGTAAATGCACAGTAAAGAAATATTAAAACATTAAATAGGAGACACAAATGAATCCAAGTGTGATATTAAATAGCAAAAAAGTAACTATCAGATATAATAAAATGAATCTCTTCATAAAATTTTTTCTTTAAATTCATTTATACTCTTTTTTTGAGAGTATAGAACATAACCTGCTGACAAGTCATCAAGATATAAAATGTACACCTCAGTACCTAATGATTCTGACCAACTGCATAGCATTACTTGATGTAAGTACCAACTTCCAGAGGTCTTATACCAAAATCAGCAATGAGACAAACTCAGAAAAGCTTATGGGTTGAGATAAATGAGCCAGAAACAAATAAAACACACACACACAAACACACACACAAACACAGTAATAAAGTGTCCTAAAGACAGCACTGGTTATTAGTTGTGTAAATTCTGATAAATACCCTAACTAAACAATCTAGTAGCTCTTTTGTCTGGAATAAAATACAAGTGTCTTGTAGTCACTTTCAATTGCCTTCAGAATATTACAAACTAGTATTCTCATCGTGGCATAATAAAGCTTCCATTTTAATCAAAAACATGATTTCCTAGCTAATTATCTAATTAGATATAATTTGTTATAAAGACATATTTTTAACCAAAATCAAATCAATCTCTAAAAGGCAAAATTCTGTCACTCCTAAAGATATTTACACCAATAAATTATAGGATAAAAAAGTGATCTCAAACACAAGTATAAGTTCTGGGCAACAGCAACTAAAGTTAATATTTATACAAACTCTACAAATATTTACGATACTGGTTTCAAATGCATCTAGATACCATAAATTCTGCCGTAATAAATGAAAACCAGCCCCACAGTGTGGTAAGCGTAATGTTGAAAAAAGAAGCAACGTACAGAAAATTGCATATTACATGATCCGATTTAAAGTTTAAAAAACAGGTACAATTAATTACATATTGCTTAGGTATGCATAATTAAAAGGAAAACAATACAGAAATGCAAGCAAGCTTTTAGAATTCAGTCAGAACAGAAACCAGCTCTAGGAGGACAGATGAGGAATACTTAGAAGGAGAAGTTGGGGCAGGCGGGTAAGAAGGGCTAGCATTTTGGGACTTGTAGATCCACTTGATGCTTACATGGATTTTTGCTATAGTAATTTTTCCAGCCATATACTGGTGTTTTATGGACTTTTCTGTATGTGTGTTTTAGTTTACAACTTAAATAAAAGGAGAAGGGGAAGAAGGAAGGAAAGCCACTAGTCGTCCGGAGACCTTGGTTGGAACAGAGGGAGCATGTCCCTAAGTCAACAGTTCCAGAGCAGCTGCTAGACTTCTCAACCTCATCCCAGGGGCAAAAGGGGCGGCAGTTCCTCTAGAAGAAAATGAGTGTCATTCCTGAAAGTTACTCTAGGTACTCTTCCTTCCTCCATCCCCTTCAAAAATTTATAAGCCCTGAATCCTGTTCTGTTTATCACATCTGACAGCAGTTCTCTTAACAGTACATGAACCCTAACCAAGACAAGTCATCAAGAGAGGTTCGAAAAGAACCAAAGAGGAATTTCCAATACGGAGTGTTAACAGTAATGAGGCAGAAGGGCAAGACACTGACCCACTGACCATTACATTAACCTGATACTTATCTGTCATTCCCAACAGATGTCCTAGTACAAGCATAAAAATGAAACCTTTATTTAACACTTTATGAAGTTGGACTTTTGACTTTCAAAAAAACAAAAAGGAGTGGGAGAGGAAGGGTAAAGTATAGAGGCATGGTAAGGAATGAAAAAGAGAGTTACCTGGAGTCTTGTATTCATTTCCAAGAAATAAAAATTCTTCTTCGAGTCCACAAGGAATTCCACGGTTCCAGCAGAGGAATACTTCACTGCTTTGGCAAGAGCTACAGCTTGTTCTCCCATTGCTCTTCGAGTCTTAGAATCCAGAAAAATGCTACAAATACAGAAAGAGTAATCAACACTTTGAACAAAAGTCATCTTTTGCGTGCACCACATAAAAATGTTCTTACAGTTTACTCAAATGTGATCACCTGTATCAATTTAAGATTTTATATCATATGCTTTACATATGTTTATAATACATGCTTTCGGTCGTCAGCCTCAGATTTTTATAAAACTAACATGTGAACCTCCCACATTATAGTGCGATTGCCATCAATTTTAGCACAATTAGTTGTTTTCAACCAGTAAAACTTAACATATACATTCAGAACTTCCCTAAGTTAAAACTGGGAGATGTGCCTTAGGGAGAACACATGTGTGCTGGATGAGCTTTCTTCAGGCAAGTCCTGACCAGGACCGGGAGTTCAATATTAATGAATCAACAGCATGCATTAAGTAAGGTGGCTTTCGACAGAAACACACATAAAACAAGGTTAAGTCAGGATATTTTCATCAAGGCTACATATTGATTAAAATGTCCTGACTAGAGGCTCACAGAACCTAACTCTACTTCCCCTACGTATTCGCTAATTCAGTGTTCACAGTGACTCTGTGAAAAGTAACTACCACAAACAAAAAGAACTGACTGTACATCTAATAAATCCTCAAAACTTTTGTTTCACAATGCCAAAGTTACCCTCCAGCAGGCAAATAAAGCTTAAATGTTTTCAATAAACCCTAAAAAAAAAAGAACATTTGTGTATTTTCATGTATTTTGCTTCTATCCAAGAAAGGTTCTAAGAAATAGAACACTGACTACTTTTCTTCCCATAGATTAAAATTTGTGGATCAAGGGTGCCTGGGTGGCTCAGTTGATTAAGCGACTGCCTTCAGCTCAGGTCATGATCCTGGAGTCCCGGGATCAAGTCCCACATAGGGCTCCCTGCTCGGTGGAGAGCCTGCTTCTCCCTCTCCCTCTGCCTGCCTCTCTGCCTACTTGTGCTCTCTCTCTCTCTATCTCTGTCAAATAAATAAATAAAATCTTTTAAAAAATAAATAAATAAAATTTGTGGATCAAGATTTAGGTGACTTTTATAAAATTTTTATTATGGAAAAGCATAATGAACTTCTATGCACCTGTTTCCCATGTGGAACTATTATTAATACATAGCCAGTGTTGTCTATACCGTGCACATCTACTTTTCTACCAGGCCTACCCATTTTCTTTTCTGCAAATTTTATTTTAAATCAAATCCCAAATTTGTTATCATTTCATCTACAGAAACTTCCATATCTGTTTCTATAAGATTTGTAACATAATCACACCTAAAACATTAATAAGAACTTAATAGCATTTAATATTCAGTTAGTATTCAAATCTCCCTGATTATTTCACTTTTTTTCAGGTAGTATCTTTGAATCAGAATTCAAATAAGGTCCAGCCACTCCATTCACTTATTTATTTTTACATCTTTACAGTTCTTTTAACTTGTAATGCTCTCTTCTCCTTTTTCTGAGACAAGGATCTGCCCATTTTCCTCCCATTTCTCACAATCTGGGTTCAACCCCAGAGTTGCACAGCATTTTAACATCCGCATTACATTTCTATTTCTCATAAACTGCTGGTTAGATCCAGAACCCTGAACAGATTTCAAGTTGGATTGGAAGAGGGGAAGCAAGAAAACTCAGATGGGAAGTGCACCTCCTAATGCCTCCCTTTGGTGGTTAGGGTTAATCACTGGATAAACAGTTCTGCTTCAACCTAATGGGTATAGGCACAGATGACATTTCAATGCCAACTAGTTGAAAAAACTAATACAAAAAAAGAAAGAAACCCAAAATGAACATAGTAATATTTGGAGAATCTCAAAGACACTGGAGTGAAACTATTTTTGTATTGTCTGATCTTGTCCTTTCTCTAGTCATAAACTCTGTAACACTCAGAGCTATAAGCAACCTCATCATTGCACTCAAAACACAGCAAATTCAATTTCTAGAAACTGAAAACGGAAAATTCCACTTAAGATTTTATAAATAATAATATACAAATACCTATCAAGTCACTATTAATGACCAGTTCTCATTTGGGGGTTTGTCTTTTGCTGTTTTTGTTCCTACTGCTTTAAATTTTCCTCTTTTTCTCTCAATTAACAAATGAGTTCATATGAAAAACTTGTATTTCTAGAGAAAGAGAGAGGAAACAAAAATAATAGTTCAAGGTTCCTAGTCTGTGAAAGATTTTTATCCCAGGCAAAATCTGAATGGGTTTTAAATAAAAAGTTAATTACATTGGAAGCAATAAGAAGAGAACACGAAACTGTAAAAGCGGGTATGTCAGAGACTATCACTGTTCTACCAGCAACCCTGTGCCCTTCTTCCACACAATTAGAATTTTAGCAGAGCACATGGTTACTTAATTAAAATAAAGACATTGCCCAACTCCCTAGCAAAGTTCCTAACTTCAGATCACTACCAAGCAATCAGCACTAGTATGTTCTGGGGCCCTTCCTTAAACATACAGGTAGAACATTCCTTTTACCTCTTCTTCCTTCCCTCTTTCATCCTGGTGCTGGGCCATGAGATAGGGTCATGCCCCACGTAGGCCACACTGGACTGTTCTTCACAGCATGGTGGCTGGTTTTTAAGATAAGTGTCCCAAGAGACAGGAAATGGAAGCTCAAAGTTTCCTTAGGCCTGCACACAGCATCACTTCTGTACAGTCTATTCTCAGAGCACAGAATCAAGGGGAGGGTACAAAGATCCCTACCTCCGCTCATCAACAAGAGAAGCGGCAAAAAACTTGAGAACCACGTCTTAAAACTCCCACGCTACACTAATGTGTAAAACCTAATATAATTAAAGCAGGACTTGCTTTGTGCCATTACCCTGTAATTAAAAATTCACTTATATTCACACCTCTTTAAAGAAACTATACATACACATCAAGGCACACTGGTTATGACTAAGTTACAACTGGCTATACCCTTATTGCCTGATTATTAAAAATGACAATGTACACTCAACTGGGGGATTTTTAAGGACACAGAGACAACTAGAATACATACAAATACCAACCTAGCATCAAGTTAGAAATGAAGTTCCATGAAAATGCTACACTAAACATATCTAAAGGTAGCTTGGAGAAGGGCCCAAAATAGTTCTGATAAATCAAGGAATTACTTTTTTTATTATTATTATGAACATACAATATATTATTTGTTTCAGGGGTACAGGTCTGTGATTCATCAATCTTACACAACACACAGTACTCACCACAACACATACCCTCCCCAGTGTCCATCACCCAGCCACCCCCCTCCACTCCAACAACCCTCAGTTTGTTTCCTGAGATTCAGAGTCTCTTATGGTTTGTCTCCCTCTCTGGTTTCATCTTGTTTCATTTTTTCCTCTCGTCTCCTATGATCCTCTGCCTTGTTTCTTAAATTCTGTGTATCAGTGAGATCATATGGTAATTGTCTCTCTCTGATTGACTTACTTTGCTTAGCATAATAACGCTCTAGTTCCATCTACATTGTTGCAAATGGCAAGATTTCATTTTTGATGACTGCATCATAGTCATGTGTGGGTGCGGGTGCGTGTGCGTCTGTATGTGTACACACCACATCTTCTTTATCCATTCATCTGTCGATGGACATCTCAGTTCTTTCCATAGTTTAGCTATTGTGGACATTGCTGCTATAAACATCGGGGTGCACGTGCCCCTTTGGATCACTACATTTGTATCTTGGGGTAAATACCCAGTAGTGCAATTGCTGGGTTATAGGGTAGCTCTATTTTCAACTTTTTGAGGAACCTCCATACTGTTTTCCAGAGTGGCTGCACCAGCTTGCATTCCCACCAACAGTGTAGGAGGGTTCCCCTTTCTCCGCATTCTTGCCAACATCTGTCGATTTCTGACTTAATTTTAGCCATTCCGACTGGTGTGAGGTGGTATCTCATTGTGGTTTTGATTTGGATTTCCCTGACACCAAGTGATGTTGGGCACTTCACTTGTTCATGTGTCTGTTGGCCATCTGGATGTCTTCTTGGCAGAAATGTCTGTTCATGTCTTCTGCCCATTTCTTGAGTGGATTATTTGTTCTCTGGATGTTGAGTTTGATTAAGTTCTTTATAGATTTTGGATACTAGCCCTTTATCTGATATGTCATTTGCAAATCTCTTCTCCCATTCTGTCGGTTCTCTTTTCGTTTTGTGGACTGTTTCCTTTGCTGTGCAAAAGCTTCTTATCTTGAAGTCCCAATAGTTCATTTTTGCCCTTGCTTCCCTTGCCTTTGGAAACGTGTCTAGGAATAAGTTGCTGCAGCTGAGGTCGAAGAGGTTGCTGCCTGTGTTCTCCTCAAGGATTCTGATAGATTCCTGTCTCACATTTAGGTCTTTCATCCATTTTCAGTCTATTTTTGTATATGTTGTAAGGAAATGGTCCAGTTTCATTCTTCTGCATGTGGTTGTCCAACTTTCCCAACACCCATTTGTTGAAGAGACTGTCTTTCTTCCATTGGATATTCTTTCCTGCTTTATCAAAGATTAGTTGACCATAGAGTTGAGGGTTCATTTCTGGGCTCTCTATTCTGTTCCACTGATCTTTGTCTGTTTTTGTGCCAGTACAATACTGTCTTGATGATGACAGCTTTGTAATAGAGCTTGAAGTCTGGAATTGTGATGCCACCAGCTTTGCTTTTCTTTTTCAATATTCCCCTGGCTATTCGGGGTCTTTTCTGGTTCCATATGAATTTCAGGATTATTTGTTCCAGTTCTCTGAAAAGAGTTGATGGCATATTTTGATAGGGATTGCAAATCAAGGAATTTTGAAAAACTGTGCTCCAGAAGCCTTTTGATGGTAGGATAAATTCAAAACTTCAGGGTCAACTTTATGAAAATTTCACCAACAGAAGATCCTAGAAGGCATGTATCCCTAGACATTCCATAAGACCAGAAACACCCGCAAGGTCTCTATTACCCAGAAGCTCATGGAAGTCATGGTTGACTATCTACCAAACTCTCTCCTCTAGCAAAACCCCACCTTTTTTCCCCAAGTATTCTCTCACTTGTCATGCACTGAAGTACTGAGGGTGAGATCAAGTGGCAAATTCTTAATTATAAAATATACACTAATAGACTCTACCATGACAATTCCACCAAACTGCTATTGAAGCGATTTTAGCCAATAATGGGAAAGAAATATGCTAAACAAAATCAGTCTATTATGAATATTAATTATGAAAAACTCTTACCTTGGTGCTTCCTCCACAACTTTCTGATTTCTTCGCTGAATTGAGCACTCTCTTTCATTGAGCCACAATGCATTCCCATGTTTGTCACCTAAAACCTGACAGAGCAATACCACTTGAAAAATTATACAACCATACCTATAGAGTATGTGCCCAATTAACATTTTCACCATGCAACACCCCCTGGTTTTTACCACTCGAAGCTCCCAGGACACACGTACCTCTCAATTATGTTCCTCTTTCGGTTGATGTTAATAGAGGAAAACTTTATTTACAACCCTGAAACTCACTAAAATGTTTTGAAAAGACTTGAGGAAAAAATTCACACATGATATTTCACCCAGTGCACTGGAAATGTAACATCAATTATACAAATTTTGTGAAGGACACTGAGTGTCAATAAAGGAAATATACATTCTAGATATCAGTGGTGCTTCAGGAAAACCATGTTATAACAAACATCTGTTTGTTTTTAACATAATTAAATGTCTGTTGATCAGAAAATGCTATTTACACCCAATATTACTCTGTTACTTATATATGGACGTTTTCACTATGCTTTATTTTTGTTACAGAAACTGATAAAAGGTCTGGGATTAACAGGTAACACATTATGATTTTTCCCATTTGTAATACTGAAAAATAAGCTGGAGTTGCCAGATAAAATAACAGGACACCCAGATGAATTTGAATTTCGAAGACTTACTTATTTTTAGAGAGAGTGCACACATAGTGGGGGGGCAGGGCAGAGAGAAGGAGAACCTCCCCATTGAGCACAGAGCCAGATGCAGGGCTCAATCTCACGACCCTGAGATCCTGACCTGAGCTGAAACCAAGAGTTGGACGCTTAACCAACTGAGCCACCCTGGCACCCGTGAATTTGAATTTCAAATAAACAACAAAAATCTTAATAAAAATAGGTTCCAAATACTTATTGGGATATACTTCCACTTAAAAACAAATACTGTTTATCTGAAATTCAAATTTAACGTGTATCTTACCAGCTAAATCTGGTAACCCTAAAACATGCTCTTGGTGAATATTTTTGCACACAATGTTGCTTTTGGGAACAGATTAATCTATTTTCATGATTAAGGAGTAGTTACATATTACTGAATGCATATATTAAGTTCAGAGAAGCTATTCTAGAAGCCAAAAGGCTAGGCAATAAAATTATTGCCCATTACTCCGAACTGCTTTGCAACTTCTTTGGGCAAGTCATTTTTTTTCCCTTATGCATTATCAACAGCATATGATACAATCATCTTAATACTTTATGTGGTGCTAAAAATATAAAATAAAAAAGATCATGGTTACAGTAAACTATAAAATGAGTAGCTAACATATGAATGTAAACTTAATTTTTAGTAATAAAACATATCTAAATCTCAAGAATGATTCCAAGCAAAGGAAAATACTGCAGTAATGAAATGCCAAGAGGTTGGAATTTTATTTTTAAGTCTCAAAGGTGGCTGCATGAAGTACAGTCTAAAAAATACCTTAACACTAAAAAATACTTTAACACTAAATTTATGCTACTTCGTTTCATCCTAGTTGAGAAGAAGGTGAAAGTAGACTGTGTGTCCAAGAAATAAAGCCATGATAACCAAGAATTCTCAGAAATATTTCTAACTAAAATATTAGATTCATATATAGACTTACATTTGTTTTCCCCTAAAGTCTGTGTAGTCTCCTAATTCTTTTTAAAAAATCTTGTCATGGGGTCGTCTGGGTGGCTCAGCTGGTTAAGCAACCAACTTGATTTTGGCTTGGGTCACGATCCCAGGGTTGTGAGATTGAGCCCCCAGTGGCTGCAGGACCTGCTTAAGATTCTCTCTCTCCCACTGCCCAGGCCCTTGAAAGCGCGATCGTGCGCTCGCGCTCGCTCTCTCTCAAAAAAAGGAAAAAAAAGTTTTGTTTTTTCCTAAGCATTGAACAAAAATAGTATTTTTAAAGATTCATTTATTTGAGAGAGAGAGAGAGAGAGAGAACGCAATTGGAGGGGCAGAATGAGAGGGAGAGAAAAAATCCTTAAGCCGGCTCCCCGCTGAGCATGGAGCCCGACCCAGGGCTTGAACCCAGAACCCTGAGATCATGACCTGAACGGAAATAAAAAGTCAGCTGTGTGGGGTGCCTGGGGGCTCAAACATCTGACTTTGGCTCAGGTCATGATCTCAGAATCCTGGGATTGAGCCTTGCACCCCAACAGGTTCCACGCTCAGTGGAGAGTCTGCTTATCCCTCTCCCTCTGCCCCTCTCCCTACTCATGTTCTCTCATAAATTGTTTTTAAATAAAAAATAAAAAAAGAATCGCTGCTTAACTGACTGAGCCACCTAGGCATCCCTCAACAAAAATAATTTGACAATGATTTATTCCACTGAATAAATAGAGACTAAGTGACCAGACAATATAAAGAGTGCCTGTAAGGGAAGTTAATCCTTAAATCCCTCATGAGTTTTGTTTTGTTTTTGTTTATAAGATTTTATTTTTTAAGTAATCTCTATACCCTATGTGGGGCTTGAACTCATAAGTTGCATGCTCCACTGACTGAGCCAGTCAGACAGCCCCATCATAAGTTTTATTTTCTTTTACTTTTAATACAGCCTTTTACCAATGTGCAGGTACTCGATGTGGAAAAATCTCCCAAATACACTGCTTACTGAAAAAACTTCATGACAACAGAGGGTCCACATAATGCAAGCCATTCAGCATCCCTGGATCCAACTCACAAAATGCCAGTAGTGTCCAGGTTGAGAAACACAGGTTTAAACCACACAGAGTAGTGCCATTGCCACCACCAGTGGAGTTTCAGCGTAAGGAAGGACACAGTATGTAATAGCCCCCATGTAAAAAGTAATAAGTGATACACATATATATTTCACGATCGGATATAGCAGGTTATAATGGTGCCTGCTTCTAGGGACAGAAACCAGGGGACTTGGAGACAAGGGTGAAAGGAATGCTCACTTTTCACTGGATGGCCTTTATTGTGTGCACAAATTACCTCATATAAATAATTAAATACATGCAAACTGAGGAAAATAATTTTTTTAAAAAACATAGATCAGATATGGCAAACATCTGTGTTACCTATTTAAGTTACCAGGAGACACTTTCACCTATGTTTAAAATTATCACCTAGGCGGCGCCTGGGTGGCTCAGTTGGCTAAGCGTCTGCCTTCAGCTCAGGTCATGATCCCAGGCTTCTGGGATCGAGCCCCGCATCGGGCTCCCTGCTCGGCGGGCAGCCTGCTTCTCCCTCTCCCACTCCCCCTGCTTGTGTTTCCTCTCTCGCTGTGTCTCTCTCTGTCAAATAAAAAAATAAAATCTTTATAAAAATAAAAAAATAAAATTACCACCTAGATTATATGGCACAGCTAATGAAAATAAACTATAAGCTGATGTAGATCTCTAATTACTTAATACAATCTGTCAAACATTGAGTGTTAGTAGTGTGAAAGACAATGGCCTAGTTGCTGGAACCAACAAATGAATAAGACCTACTAACTGCCTTCAAGTACTTCTTGGTCTATTTGAAAAGTCAGACAACTCAAGATAAAATCAATGGTCATCTAACAAACATGTAACAGATGAAGAGTACAGAGAAGGGGAAAATTAATTTTGCCTGTACGACCTTACAGGAAGGATAGCCCAGGTACCTCCCCTAAGTTACGGACTTAAATAACCAACAGTCTACTCAACACCTACACTTTGATATCTCAACCTTGTTTCTCCAAAATCACACCCTGATCTCCTCCCCAAAACACGCACCCCTCAGTTTTTCCCACCGCAGTAAAGGATAGTGCTGGTCTTCTAATTCCTCAGGCCCAAACCCTAAAGCCATCTTTGATGCCTTATACTTTTTCTTATACATCACATCTGATCTTTTAGAAAATCTGGTCTACCTTCACAGAGTATCCAGAATTCAATCACATCTCACCACCTCCTCTACCAACACCCTGGCTCAAGCTGCCCTCATCTCTCACCAAGAATTACAGCAAAAAAACAAAAACAAAAAATAAACTCCTATGAGATCTCTCAGCTTCAAATGGTGGTTTTCAAATACAAAGAGCCAATGACTAGTATGTGCCTTTTTTCTTCCTTTACCTTGTTGATTGGGACTATTCATTGCAGTGTCATATCCTTTTCTCATTGCTATAAGTTTGATGAGCAGGTGTCACACTGTCTTCAAATACAGAGGTCTTTGCATCAGAAGAACTGCTTTTAAGGAACCATATACAAGAAGTCTCATGCATAGCTGGACCAAGTTTGAAGACGAGATTCTGGTCTTGGAAGAAGATGTTTATATTCTACTTACAGAAGGACATGATCATTGGGGGGCTGGTCAATGGGCTGTGCTAGACCATATCCAAAGTCGGCCCCCACATTCAACAAGACATTAAAAGAATCATTCACCACAGTCATGTGGAATTTATGTAAGGGATGCAAGGATGGTTCAATATTCACAAATCAATGTGATACATCACATTAACAAAATGAAGGAGAAAAATGACATGATCATCTCAATAGATAGAGAAAACGATTTGACAAAATTCAGCGTCCATTCATGATAAAAACTCTTAAAGTGGGCTTAGAGAGAACATACCTCAACATAATAAAGGCTATATGTGAAAAACCTGCAAGTAACATCATACTCAGTGGTAAAAAACTGAGAGCTTTTCTCTAAAATACATAAGGATACCCACTCTTGACACTGTTATTCACAAAATCCTGGAAGTCCTAGCCACAGCAATCAGAAAAGAAATAAAAGGCATCCAAACTGGTAAGGAAGAAGTTAAAACTGTCACTATTTGCAGATGACATGGTACTATACACGGAAAACTCTAAAGACTCCGCCAAAGAAACTATTAGTAGTAATAAATTTATTCAGTAAAGTTGCAGGATACAAAATTAATATATAGAAATCAGCCGCATTTCCATACAAGAATGAAGTAACAGAAAGAGAAATTAAGAAAACAGTTCCAGTTACAATTGCACTAAAAAGAATAAAGTATCATGGAACAAAATTAACCAAGGAGATGAAAGACCTGTACTCAACACTGATGAAAGAAACTGACAAAAATATAAAGCTATTCCATGCTCATAGACTGAAAGAATATTAAGATATCCATAGTACTCAAAGCCATCTACAGATTTAATGCAATCCCTACCAAAATACCAACAGCATTCTTCACAGACCTAAAACTAATAATTCTAAAATTTGTATGGAATCACAAAAGACTCCGCATAGCCAAAGCAATTTTAAGAACAACAAAGCTGAAGGTATCACAATCCCAGATTTCAACATATACTACAAAGCTATAATCAAAACAGTACGGTACTGGCACAAAAACAGACACATACATCAATAGAACAGATAAGAGTGCCCAGAAATAAACCCATGATTTTATGGGCAAGTAATCCATGACAAAGGAGACAAGATTATACAATGGGAAAAAGATGGTCTCTTCAGTTAATGGTGCTGGGAAAACTGGACAGTTACATGTGAAAGAATGAAACTGGACCACTTTTTAACACCATACACACAAAAAAAAACTCCAAATAGGAACTGAAGAAAATGAATTAAAGAGGCCTGAATGTGAGGCCTGAAACCATAAAAATCCTAGAAGAGAACAGAGGCAGTAATTTCTCTGGCATCAGCCACAGCAACATTTTTCTAGATATGTCCCCTAAGGCAAGGGAAACAAAAGCAAAAATAAACTATTGGGACTACACCAAAATAAAAAGCTTTTGCACAGCAAAGGAAACCATCAACAAGAAAAAAGGCAACCTACTGAATGGGAGGAGATTTTGCAAATGATATATTTAATAAGGGGTTAATATCCAAAACATATAAAGCACAGGAGCACCTGGCTGGCTTAGTCAGTGGAGCATGTCTCTTGATCTCAGGGTCCTGAGTTCCAGCCCCATGTTGGGTATGAAGCTCACTTTAAAAAAATACACGCGCACACACACACACACACACACACACACACACACACACAGAAACTACAGTGTTTACTAGACCTATACATAACATTACCGTGTAATCCAGTAATACTTCTCCTCAGTATATCTGCAAGAATGTGTATATCCATAAAAAGTCATAGCAATTTATTCATAGTATCAAAAAGCTGGAAACAACCTGAAGATCCACCAACAGGAAAATGGATAAACTGCAGGTTATTCAAACAATGAAATATCACAGAGCATTTTTTTTTAGAGTTAATAGTAACACACAGCCTCATGGAACAATCTCAAAGATATGATGCTGTCTGAAAGAACCCAGATATAACCAAAATATATTGTACGATTTCATTTATATAAGTTTAAGAACAGGCGGAAATACTCGGTAGTGTTAGAGGTCAGAACAGGAGGTACTTTGGTGGCCAGGTGGAGGGACTGACTGGGAAGTTATATGAAGAAATCTTCTGATGTCACAGAAATGTGTTATATACAGATCTGGATGGTTTCTATACAGCTATACAAGCGTGCATAAGAATTTTGAGTCGTACACTTAAGATTTGTGGACTTTAAGATGTGGTATCTCACTTCAGAATATCTAAAAACAAAAAAAACCAACAACAAAAACCCCTGCTAACTTCAGAAAGAAATACACTACAGTCAATGTTCTAAGACTATTTGCTGATTATATATATTTGCACATTTTTTCCCACTCTGGAAAACTGGAGGATCTAGATGAAGATTTTCTACCCATAAAAAATATCTAGGGCACCTGGGTGGCTCAGTCAGTTAAGCGTCTGCCTTCGGCTCAGATCATGGTCCCAGGGTCCTTGGAAAGAGCCCTGCATCGGGCTCCCTGCTCTGTGGGGGGGGGGGGTTCGGGGGTCTGCTCCTCCCTCTCGTTTGCCCCTGCTTGTGCTCTCTCTCTCTCAAATAAATAAAATCTTTAAAAAAAATCTATGTAAAATGATAATTAACTTAAAAAAACCACAATGACAGAATTTAGGACTTTTATTATGCCCCATCAGAAGAGGCAAGGGCAGCAAATAACCTATTATTCAGTTTTCTGATTCTCTGTTGACACTGAAATAAGTAAAACAACACTTAAACTTCAGTATGATTTTAAATTTGATGCTTACATTTTATCAATTTTAATTCAATTCATAGCCATAACGGTCTTTACAGAAGACTTTAACAAAAATGAAAACTTCAGGAGACATTGTCTTCTTCTGTGTGTTATTTCAGAAAACCAATTTTTTGTCTTCCTGAAATCCACACCCCCTACAACCGCTTTAGCAGTTAGATTAAAATCTTAACCTGAGTAGAAGAAATTATTTACTCATGTCTAAACTAGCAATTCCTAGAAGAATGCCTGTCTCGGTGAGCCACACAGACATTTGGTAAACTGAAATGATAGAAGTCCAGATCAAGCACTTTATTAAAAAAAAAGAGCAAGCCCTGTCAAGGTGTCATGGTCCAGTCCCAGAATGGGACTGACTGAATCTCTAGGTGCAAAGTATTTAACTTGGTCAGACAGCTTGGGACTGCTTCTTTCTACAACAGGATTTTTATATCATTCCCTATTTTAACCAACATCCTGGCACTTTAATGAGAACTATACCAGATTCCAAAGGGAAGTGATCAATTTATGCACATTCTCTATTTTGAAGTTATTCAAGCATATCAGAACAATTCACAATCATTCTAAATGGAAGAAAGGATATGTTTCCAATAGGAATAAATGTTTTTTAAAAGTCATAATAATTAGAAAACATCTTAAAATGTACCAACCTGGATTTCTATATGACGAGGGTTATCAATAAATTTTTCTATTAGTAGTCTATCATCGCCAAAACTAGAAGCAGCTTCTTGAGATGAAAATCTAAAACCATCCCTAATTAAAAAAAAAAAAAGAAAGAAAGAAAGAAAGAAAGAAGGAAGGGGGAAGAACAATCAAACTAACAAAACAAATACAGCCTTCAATAAAAAAGTAAACAAAGCAATTAAATATTTATTTTGGTTTACTTATGAACAAAGCAAAGAAAAATTCACTTAATGCACAAATAACTAAATTTACTTTCATTGACCAACAACTCTTACACTCACCAGCTTTGTGACCTGGGGTCAGTGATTTAACTTCCCTGACCCTAGATTTGACCCTAGATTTTATAATGAAATAGGAATACCATTACTTAGTTGACCAACTGTTAAAAATTAGATATTTTTTTTTAAGATTTTTACTTATTTATTTGAGAGAGAGAGAGAGAGAGAGACAGCAAGAGAGGGAACACAAGCAGGGGGAGTGGAAGAGGGAGAAGCAGCCTTCCAGCTGAGCAAGGAGCCTGATGCGGGGCTCAATCCCAGGACCCTGGGATCATGACCCGAGCCAAAGGCAGACAGACGCCTAACAACTGAGCCACCCGGGTGCCCAAAAATTAGATATTTCTAATAAACCACACAAATCATATAAAATTCCATTTCCTCAGCCCTAATATACCGTAATTCCACTAACAAAAGAAATTTAAAAATGCGTATTAATTTGACTCAAGTCAGAATATGCACACAAAAATGCAAAGGGCCAACCTGGCCAGTGGCACAACTGGGGCAAAACTACAGTGAAATACTCAGTGAGAATGAACATACATGAGGAGGATCCTCAAGAACATTTTATGATAATTTTTAATGATATTTTAAATACACACACTTAAATGTAACTGCCCTTCACATACCCATACAGATCATTACAACTTTATATCATCTTTGAATTGTTCAAAATTAATTAAAAGAGAAAAGTATAATTTTTGAAAATAAAAATACAGATATAATTATTGCTTTATACATTTTATTCCCAAACTATAATAATTTAAATTGTTATAATTAAAATATGCTCACTAAATTCATGCACTATGAAATGGGCCCATTCAGGGGTGCCTGGGTGGCTCAGTAGGTTAGGCAGCTGCCATCGGCTCAGGTCATGATCCCAGGGTCCTGGGATCAAGCCCCAAGTAGGGCTCACTACTTGGCAGAGAGCCTGCTTCTCCCTCTCCCTCTGCCTGCTGCTCTGCCTACTTGTGCTCTCTGTCAAATAAATAAATAAAATCTAAGAAAGAAAGGAAAGAAAGAAAGAGAGAGAGAGAGAGAGAGAGAGA